GCCGCAAAGAATGCATCCGTGACCAGAACACAGCCCGCCAGCTCATGACCTTCTGTATGCTTCCGGTGACTTCCAACACCAAGGCAGCGTATGAGCCCAACTCCCCCACATGCCCCGCCAATCAGAACCTGCCATCTTTCGCACCGGCGACGTCACCGTACTTTGGGCCATGCAGATGCAAAACAACTAGCTAGCGCTGCGCGGGAGCCCAAAACAACGCGTCTTCTTAAATGTTAGGATCCCCAGATTTTTCTGTCGTTTAGTAATTTTCCTGCCCTTTGGTGATTGCGTGACGTTTGCCAGTCCTGAAGATGGCGGAATTAGTTGTTGCGGGCCCGCCTGCCCCACCTCCGATGACGTTTCGCGATCGGTTGTCGCAGTTTAGGATTCTGGAGGAGAAGAGGTGTGAGCTTATCGAGGTATGCTACTGGAGGCGTCCTAGGTGCCTTGATGGTTTTGACGATGGAGTAGGAACTCCTAGACAAACTCGAAAAGACAGAAGCACGCCTCGCACAGTGTGAACTCGACCTAGGCTCCGAACAAAATGTCAGGCGGACGTTGCAAGCGGAAATCGCAGATGTCACGCGGACGATGCAAGGGCAGCTGTCAGAGTCCAAGGCAAAAGAAGAGGCTCTAGTGCAGTCGCAGTCCAAACGGCCGTTTGTTATGGTGCTCATAGATGCCGATGCCGAAGGCTTCCTGGTATGTGTTGTAGTATACTTCTAGTCGTGCATCTTAGCTGACCGTCCCAGTTCCAAGACAAATACATAACACGAAAAGCTCAAGGCGGCGAAGCATTAGCAGACGAACTGAACATAAGGATAAGGGAATACTTGCGGGAGCTGTACGAAGATGCCGACTCACTCGACATCATCGTTCGCATATATGCCAACTTGGAGGGTATGGCCAACTACCTTGTACGACTTGAGAAGGTTCGGAACTTGGGTCAGCTACGAGCCTTCTCGACTGGCTTCTGCGGCAGGATAACGAGCTTCGACTGGATCGACACTGGAGTTGGTAAGGAAGGCGGAGCAGGAAGAAAAGTGCGAGGTATGTATCTACGCATGCTCGAGGTGGAAGGTCGAGAAGTCGCTAACATGACACAGAAAACTTGTCGTTCTTCGCATCGAACACGCACCTACGGCACACGATAGTCGCATGCTCGCCCGTCGATCTACCCGCTTCTCTCCTCACCTCCATACCACTCGAGAAGCTGACGCTGATCGAATCTCTCCCGCTACCTTCTTCGCTTACAACACTACCTCTGAAAACCGCCAAGTTCCCCTCTCTCTTCCCTCCTCCGCCACCCACCAAGAACGCAAAGCCCAGTCGAGAGCGCGGCCGAAACGAGCGAGGACTAAGCGAAACTGATGTGAGAAGAGGAGACAGGGACATGCGAAGAGGAGATGAGAGAGGCGGAGGACCACAACTTCAGCTCATGGAACAAGAGCATGAGGGAGGCGGCTCAACGTGGCTGGTCATACAACCCGAGAGGAGTAAGAGCCAGGCTGTTAGCGGACGGGACAGAGACAGAGACAGGAGGAGGGCTCCAAGCGAAGACGATACCAGCAGCTTGAGCATTAGCATCGGACCAGACAATACCGTCAGTGTTGACAGTGGAAGGCGGCGGAGGTTGATGGGCTAGTCTTGGTTCGGCACACGAGATCTGGGATCTTTGTTGTGAAGGGAAGCTGTCACGTCGCGTACTATTTGATGAGTTTGATAGCATGGCATAGCATAGCGTAGCGGCATATATTCGTATTGTTCATCGTCCGCTGGCATAGCGGGGGACAGTGCAGCCCGGAATCTAAAGCGTTTGTCGGAAGCCTTCTTGGCCCTCCAGAATCCTCTCTCCGCGATCAGCCTGACGGTTAGCTCGTGAGTAGACCCAGAAGTTCTTCAGCACGTGTAGTATGCTCAGGACTTGGGTAGCGATAACAACAGCCATGGCGGGTCTATGCAAGTCAGCTTCATACCTCTGCAATTCTTGCTGCATGGACTTACATGTACTTGGGCGCATCTTGTTGTCGAAAGATATTCGATGCTGCGATACCTCCGCAAGCTCCCCCTCCAATCAACAACGCACTCGCAACACTCCTCTTCATCTGACCCACGATGTTATTGTGCATATAACTCAGTATGCTCGGCACGTTCGCGTTTGCACCGCTGACTCCCAAAAAGACTCCAGCATACCTTGCGCGAGCGTTGCTGAGGAAAGCCATCATGCACACTCCCAAGACTGCCCATGCGCAGTTGAACACGATGATTGCACCGCGCATTCTATATTTGTCGGCGACCCATGCCGTACCGAACATCCAAGCCGCAGCCAGGACGTAAGGCGGGAAAGACAGGATCTGGCTCATGGCGACAGAGTAACCCATGTCGTTGCGGAGGATGATTGGCAGGAAGTATCCCCAGCTGTATGCGACGACGTTGTTGAGGAAGTAAAGCCACGCGAACTCCCAGATCTTCCAGTCGCGGAGATGTCTGGCAATCGTCGGCCAGGTGAGCTTGTCAGCGATGGCATCGCCGCGGTCGCGTTGAATGCGGGCCAGGACTATTTCGGCCTCCGTAGAGGTCAAGAAAGGGCGTTTCGTGATCGGGCTGGGTTGACTGGCTTTGTCGGGAAAGTCTATTATGGTTAGGTAGCCCATGAAGCCTAGTAGAACGGTGATTGCGCCTTCCTAAGATGTGTCAGTACCTGATGTAGGTAGACATGGACCTGACCTACGATTGCGAAGATCCATTGCCATCCATTGAGACCTCCTAGGCCTCTCATCTCACTCAATCCCCAAGCCAAGATGTTTGAGAAACCACTTGCGAGTAGCGCTAGTAGGTAGAAACCACTGAACCTCTTTTGCACCTCGAACCTCACATACCAACAGCTCAGCAGGAAGACGCAGCCAGGGTAGTAGCCTGCTTCAAGCACACCCAGTATGATTCGGCAACCAAGTGCTTGTGTCCAGTCGTTCGTGAAACCCATGCCGATCGTGACAGCGCCCCAGCAAATGACCAGGGAGGGAAGCCATACGGCAGGGCCGAGCTTTCGAATGATGATGTTGGCAGGGAACTGGAAGATGATATAGGGAATAAAGAAGATCATGGTGAGGATCGAGTAGCGTGAGCCGATTGAAAGACCAAGGTCCTCGTCCATGCCTGCGATACGCGCCTAGAATCTGAGTCAGTATACGGCTTATAAAGACGACTGAGGATACGCAGTACATTCGGAAGATTGACGCGGTCGATGAGTGCGAAGGCATAAATGACAGCGAGTGTTGGTAAGAGCCTGAGATCTATCTTCCGAATGATGCGACGTGTTTCCTTGTCATCTCTTTCGACAGGCGACGATGCTGGTCCCGAGGAGTCATTCGCTGGATATACAGCGTCGTCGCTGTTGATACGGTCATGTCTACCGCCGTAGCTCTTCTCGTCAAATGAGACCTTCTGTCGTCAGCGCAACGTTTCAGGAGACATTGTGTGGACACTGACATGCTCCTTTCGCTCGGCTTCGAGATCCTTCTCCTTTAGCGACATGTTGTTCTGCGGTAAGTTGACTGGAACTCCTTGCACTGAGTACGCCCCCAACACTCTTATCGCTGCATTCCTTGCGATTCTCCAAAGATAGATCCCCGCCAAACGTCTCCCGGATCGCGGGGTGCAGCGCACATCGTTACTCAATCCGGCTATGACGGGTCGTTTGTTGGAGTAAGAGTTCGCTTCGCGGGCTTAGCTTCATGCATTGTTACCTACGAAATCCAGCTTCAGCAGCGGAGTGGAGGCTTGCTGTTGAGATGTTCGGGTTAATGAAGTTCGTGAATGACGTGTATTGACTCGACTTTGCGATGTCAGCGTCGGCAAAGGGAAGAATGCAAGCTTGAACGATGCGCTGGCTTATTTGCCAGGTCCTCTGGCTGGTGTCTGCACCTGTTGTAACGATCTAATGGTTTGCGCCATAGACAAAAGCGTGCCGTCCGTTAATAGGGAGTCATAGCTGCGGCTGGCGATCGTGTGGCATGGCACCTCTGTGATGCGGCTTTCATATCGCGATCATCGATGGAACAGTTGCGTCATCATCAAAGGAGAGCAGAGTACATGCAGGTGGAAGGCGGAGAACAATGCGACGTCGACGCGATTGATGATGGATGTTGACCACGTGACTGCACCCGACTGGGACTAGCTCATCGCGAACCTTCCACGCTAAACTTCAGCGCGTTCCTGGCCTCAACGACTCACTTTTCCATCATACCCAGCGATGCCTTCTTGGATATTAGTATCGCAAAGAAGCGATGCTCGAATTGAACCCAAAAACACCCTTCCGTCTACATCGCAATTGCTCTTAGTCAAGATGATCGGATGCCGAACGTATGCGCGTCCACATGGAGCACCCACTCATCGAAGATTATCGCTGCTAGCTTGCTGGCAACGACGCAAATCTACTTGAAGTCTCGCTCCTCCGAAAGTTCTCCATCGATCGTTCTATGAATTCTTACGCTAGGTCTCTGGGTGCAACTTGAACGTCGCCAATACCGCGCCATGTTGACGTGTTGTGCTCGATGGCTTCGACCAACCTTCCATTTCTTGTTAACGGTGCAGCTGCTAGTTGAGGACGAGCTTGACCTATGGCTCATACGTTATTTACTTACTAGAACGAAGTAAAAGACTCGAAGAAACAAGTAAAATCATAACCAACACTAACCGAGGATATGGCACTAATCGAACAAGATCCAACATCCAACATCCAATGTCGTACAAAAGTTGCCGTACACCAACGTAGCTTGAGCCAAGCTCTACGCATTCTCGTGCGCCGCGAAAGACCATGCTGCGAACCTGAAATCCCTCTCGATCGCGAAATGCCGCCTCAAACCCGATGTCAGGGGTCAATGCATTGATGGCTGCGTTTGCTTCGATCACGTGCAGCCGGTGCAAACGCACAGCGACGCGGGATCAGAGTCGCTACACCTGCGCGCGTTTCACTCACGACCTCATCATACCATTCCGCAATGGCTTCCAATCGCGCTCGAGTGCCCGACCAGGCCTCTCCAATCCACCGTCTGGCGATCAAGCCTCTCTTCGACAGCCTCCCACCTCGCGACAAGCTCTATGCTCACTACCTCTCACAAGCAGCCTGGCATGGAGCGCGCATCATTCTGTGCCAAACCTCTCTAGAATCCGAAGCCATCTTCGACTTCATCATAAAGGCCTATCGTGCGTGCGAGGGCGAGTGGAGCCAGTTCGAGGATGTATGCGCGGTGACCGACGACGAATTCAAGGCTTTTTTGAGCTATGCTGGGCTATTCCTGTACAATCTCGGAAACTTCTATGTAAGCGCCAGCAGTTGTGGAAGAAGACTAGGTCATGTGCTGACTATGTAGGGTGAGGGAGGCCAGAAGTTTGTGCCTGATCTCTGCAAGGAGTCTCTGCAGAAGATTGTGGGATGCGTGGGTATGACAGGATCTGCTGCTGAGGACTTAGTTGAGGGCATGACTGCAGTACCTCCACAGAACACAGGATATCCAAGCGATACTGTTGTGTCGAGCTACTACCTAGGCGACCGCATTACCCGCACAGAAATCGCTGAACTCCAGCTAATCATGCAGGAAGAAGGCATCGAGCCGGAGAATACCAGAGTGCGGAAGACAATAGAAGATGGGAGCGCTGTGTATGAAGTCCTCCAGGCCTCATACGATACAAGCATTCGCCCTCTTGCCACAGCAGGACGACTTGGCGGCTCGACGGTTCTATTCAAGAAAGGAGATCATCGGAACCAGGTGTCTACTATTGGCCACTTGTAAGTCTGATTCAATCTTGTTATCCAAATCATAGATGACAGCATCAAGATCTCCCAGTTTCACACCAAAACTAACAAACTACCACAGCCTCGGCCGCGCCGGCATGTACGCACAGAACCACAACCAGAGGTCCATACTCGATCAATACATACGTAGCCTCATAAGCGGAGATCTCCGAGAATATCGACGAGGCCAGGAGCTCTGGGTCAAAGACAAATCCCCATCAATCGAACACATTCTCGGCTTCGTTGAAACCTATCGCGATCCTCATGGCGTACGAGCGGAATGGGAAGGCGTGGTATGTATCGCGGATCCAGAAGAAACAAAGAAGATGGAAGTCTTCGTGGCTAGTGCAGCGAAGTTCTGTACCTTGTTACCTTGGGCGACGGCGGAGAACGAAGGCAAGGGCTTGTTCGAGAAGGACGTGGTTGTCATACCCCAATGTGCTATTGTGCATGGTGAGTGCCGGCCCTGTCCATACATAAACGCATGCTAACGCTGATGATGCAGCTCTGACAGTCTGCTGCCCGTATGTTTGGGAAGCGTCAAACCTGCCCAACGTAAGTCCCCCTATTTGTCCTCCATACCTCAAAGGTCTAGTCACTAACCTTCAATTGCTCAGTACAACGACATCCGCGAAAACCACGGCTCAAAGAACATCATCATCGCCAACCGAATGAGCGCGAATCGCAACTCCTCCGGCGCATCCATCTACCTCCAACCCCCAGACCGCGAACTCTACCGCCAAAACCTCCATACCATCCGCTTCGCCGCAACAGTTATCCACGAACTCCTCGGCCACGGCACCGGAAAACTCCTCAGCGAAACAACCCCCGGTAACTTCAACTTCGACGTCACGAACCCGCCGATCGACCCTTTGACGAGCCAAACGGTGGCCTCCTGCTACCACCCCAACGAAACATACTGGAGCATATTCGAAGACATTGCCAATTCAGTTGAGGAGTGTAGGGCTATACTCATGTCAGTTTACCTCATCGACAACAAAGAGATATTCGCAATCTTCGGGTACGATGAACACAGTGCGCTGACGGCCGACGACTTGATATATCTTTCCTATTTACACCTCGGTGTCGAGGGTCTCCGTTCGCTCGAACACTACAACCCCGATGACAAGAAGTGGACCCAAGCACACAGCCGAGGTTACTTCGCCATCTTCAAACACCTCCTCACGGAAGGCAACGGTGTACTCACAGTCCACCATAACGCTAACACATCCGCCCTACACGTCACCGTTGACAGAACCAAAATCATCTCCCACGGTAAACCCGCGCTGGGTCGCTTGATGTGTAACCTGCATATCTGGCGGTGCACAGCGGATATCGAGGCGTGTCGACCGTTTTATGAGACGTTGACGAGTGTGGAGGGTGTACATGAGGAGTGGAGAAGCGTTGTGGTGACGAGGCCAGAGCGGAGGGCGAAGTTCGTGCAGGGGAATACGTTCCTGAAGAAGAATGGGGAGATGGAGTATAGGGAGTACGAGGAGAGTGATGAGGGAATCATTAAGTCTTGGGCTGAGAGGGGGATTTTGTGAGGACTGGTTGTCCGGGATGTTTGGGGTAGGAGGGTAGGCGATTCTAGAGTTGGCTGTCTCATGGCAGCACATCAGAACGGCTATGAGCTTTTCATACATTCAGAGCTAATCCATGCCCCGCTCTTCAATGTCGTCGACGACGCAGCCATCATTCCACCCTAACGTACTTTCCGACATTCTCACGCTTCAGGTACAGTGTCGCTTGCCAAGAAGGAATACGACATACATCTTCCATATCCCAATCCTCTGTCATACAATGCAACCGCCTTGTAGGTGGGTCAGGGTGATCCTTGTGCTCGACCCACCAAGTCACTTCATCTTTGGAGGTCTTGATGTGAGAGGGGATGTCTTCGCAGAAGAAACCCGCTGGCCCTTCCTCCTTGCTCATTATGTCTACAATGAGCGAGCGAATAGGCAACTGAGCTAAGCCATGTGCTAGTACGAGGGTATACTGGTCGACTTTGAGGAGGGCCTGGCATTTGTCCATGAAGCTTATCTGCACGCCCACGCATTCTGCGAATGCTGTCATGCAGTCACGGTCTTGTTGTGTGTAATCTGGGTCATGAAAAATAATTGGGACCGGAGGATGGTGGTCCGGGTCCCTAAAAACCCCATTCAGCGTCATGGCTGTTTCGAGGGCGAGGAAAGTCCGGTACTTGTTCAATCTCGGGTCGGTCCGACAGAGACTATCTGGGTAGGCCTCGCCAATTTCGGAGTCAAACAGCGCGCCGAGACCGAAGCAGACGATGTTGTCGACATTTCCAGGTGGCGACTTATGGTCCCAAGCGAATTCTAGGCCCCTTATGAATGCCTTGTGAATGTCGCTCTTCTTCCATATAGCATACAAAGGTCCCAGATTCTTCGTTCGCGGAAGCGATGGGGGTGGGCTGCGAAGGGAAAGAGGACGAATGTACATAAAACTCTTCGAAGAAATCAGGTTTGTCAAGAAGTAACGGCGGTATAGCTCCATTTCTTCCCATGGCGGCAGATCGAGCTCAGAAGCAACTTCGAGGTACGTCCAGAAGCAAATCTCGTCTTTGCCGTTGTACAAGCTATGCGGCCAACAAGTTAGCTATGGCACTAATACATTTGCTGTGTCTACCCCTTCGAAACTCGATGTACTTACAGTTCTGGATATGTAGAAGAGATATTCATACCGCGATTCTCTAGTCCGCTCGCGCCCTTCAGAATACATGTGTCATCCTTGTGCTGTAGCGAGGCGAACTTATAGGCGTTATACCTGATGACCTCTCTCGTATACAGAGGCTGATATTCTGGGTCTTCGTAGTATCGATCTAGTTTTTCGCAGAGTTTGGCAACAGTCTTGGCTTTCTTGTAGAGAGTGAGGAGGTGCCAAGGGCGACAGTGTGATGATGTAAAGCCAGTCTTAGCTTCGTTTGATGTCGACATGGCTGACGCCGTGCTGGTATATAACGCTTGGTCAAGTCCCGAGTGGTGTGTCGCTGCTGGAAGCAACCCTGTTCTGGTGTGGTCGTGAGCGCGTGTCAACATCGGCAAGCTTTTATACTTCGCCATGACTGTTCCGCATAGACATGCTGACTCCAATTATGCGTGAGTCGAGGTATCTGACTCCGGCGATCAAGCTGTTCATGCTTGCGATGGGGCGCTACTGTACTGTGTAAGCAGTCAGTATCATGTTCATCGAGAAGATGTTGTTGATGGCTGTCGTGCGCGATGAGTCTTCAGTGGCAGAGTCTGTGTGTTGGCACGGTCGTGCGCTATGGGCTTGTGCGCCGTGGTCAGGTATGACACATAGGTTCGGGCGTTAACATTCATTTCTTCCACTTCTTCCAAGCGTCTACGAACCCGACCTCCTCCGCCGCCTCATCGCGACCGCCCAAGCCACTAGCTACCTCGCCCAAACCGCCCAAATCAACAAGCGGCACCATACTAGGCCGGCCATGCGCGCACATGAACGGGAAGACACATCCCGCCAGGTTCTTCACCAAAGCCTTACAATCATCGCTACTAAGCTCATCATTGAACATGATAGCTGACCGACATGCGCGCGAGTTGATGAGATCGATGAGGCCAGGTGGGCAGGTGGCTAGACGTCTTACCCAATCGGCGGGGTCGTTTGTTGATGAGTTAGGTAGTACGGACAGATGGGGAAGATGTGGATCTTCGGCGTACTTCCACACCGTTGAGCGGAGAAAGGATATCAAAACCTTGGGGTCGGCTTTGCATCGTTCGGATATACCAGTGGGAAGAGCTGTCACGGACAAGACATACTTCTCCTTGTCGGTGGTGCTGGAACGAGATGCAGACGCTGTTGTCTGGAGGACATCGTAGAGGATACCCCATGCTGCAAAACGCGCGGCATGCGTTGTGAAGTGTGTTCGTTCCTGCGGAGAGATTGCGACTTGCGTTGGTTTATCCAGAACGACGGAGGCTACCTGCGCCTGGTGCCCAAGCTTAGACTGGTATCCTGTTTGCTCATGTTCCGGGTGGCAAAGTTGGCTTAGGAGCGACTCGACTTGCACACGCTCATCTGCTGCATGCTGATCAATCAACACGAGAAGACCCGCGCATGCAGATTCTACTCGCTGTGAATCTCGCATCTTGACAAGGATGAACTTTTTGTCGACCTGCGCAATGACTTGCGCGTCTTGCAGCCCTTCTTTTGACAGTCTACTAGAGCCGTTTGTTGTAGTCTGGTTGAAAGCCTTGTCGATATCAATACGATAACAACCATGTCTGGAATGATGGTGTCCGTGGCCGGCCTCATCTTCGTGCAACACAGCTTGTTGTACACGCTTCTCACTTGGCTTGAAGACTGGGTTCTCCCACGTGTCTAGTACATCGTCAAGCCAGGGTGTCTTGCCAGCCACAGCCGTCGCAGCCCGTGTCGGTAATCGCATTGACTTATTCGATGCGTTCTGGGATATCGAATTCGAGAGTATAGCTGAGTCGGTACTTGGTCGCGTGCGAGCGTCAGGGACCACGCAGCCTGTTCTAGCGTTTAGTAGATGCGTCTTCTTAGTCGTTGGATCAGTCCACAAGATGGTATCGTCGTTCTCCTTGTCATCGGTTTGCAGAGTCTCTGCAGGCATCGAAACTTCGTCGCGCTGTTCCTGTCCGCTCAAAGCACCTTGAGGTAGCGGCGCTACGTCGAAGTGGGCGAAAGCTTCGGGTTTCGCGCCACGTGAAATATCGAATCCGGTGTTGTATTTCGGCGCGTTTAGAGTGCTGCTGAAGAACTCGGGCTTTCCACTCTTGATCCGCGACCACTCTGCAAAAGCCCCAGAGCGAGACCTGTCGACCAACTCACGTGACGATAACCTTTCTGGACGTTTCCTCTTGAGAGACTGTGACGAAGTTGAGCTTTGCTGTGGTGTTGCCGAGCGCACTCTTGTATCGTGTACTCGGAAAGCCATGTTAGTTGTCGGGCTATCCGTGAATGGCGTATTGACAGCAGCGTCCTCAGCAGCGCTAGAAGCAGTACCAGGTCGTTCGCGTTTCTTACGAGGATGCTGGGGTCTAAAGTGATGGACCGACAACCATTGAGTTACCATTGCATCCAGGACCTCCATCACGTTCTGTAGGTTCGCTTCATCTCCGATGAACTGATCTTCGGAAACGCTTCTCCTGCGAGCCTCCTTCAACGAGATGCGAAGGTGAAACATGGGATATCTGTCGACGTCTTTGCGTGCTTTAAGCTGCCTGTTTGTATAGCCATCCTGCTTGAAGCGTTTGTCTGTCTGCCGTCGAAATCTCTCTTGTTCATCAATGTCGGCATCTTCCTCGATAGTACCAAAGCTGGACAATGCGAAGAGGCGATTAACTGCGTCGAAAAGTTCATTGTGGCCGGCCTCCGCTGAAAGCGGTCGTATGCCCAGGGAGATGAACTGAACATGCTTGCTGGGTGCTGGAGTGAGTGATATAGCGCCCTTGATCGAGATGGCAGATGTGGAAGCCGACGCTGGTACCCACGACGCCCACTCATCGACGGTGATGTAGTTGGCCTGGGTCAATACGTTGAGGATTGATGAGAGCTGTGCCGATCGTGGCTTCGCAATCTCACTTTCTTTTCTCTTCGTGGCTGCTTCCACGCCGGATATGCTGAGACTGAGCACCACCCTGTTGTCACCGTCCCGTATTCGAATAGCGACCGGACGCTGCCAACTGAGCAAGAGACTCGTTACGCCCCTCTTCAACCCATCCCAGAGTCTGTCGTGTTCGGCTCTTTGCTGAGAGATTATCGACCGTTGCTTCACGCGCACGGGCATACTGCCGAACAAGTTCCGCACGGTGACGCGGGTGCCATGCTTGCCTGATATCTCGTGATGCGCCGACGCCGGAAGTTGCCTCTCCATGACCTTGGATTGGTGGAACGTTATCGCGTTATGTGAGCGGTGTTGGTAGTGGTGCGAGGAGATGGTCAGGAGTGACATAGCAGCGAGTGACGCGAGGAAGGTGCCATTGCGGCCAAGGAGAGGTTCGGTCGCATGGTACTTGGACGTGCCTGTCGCCGTCAATTCTCTATCTAGATGGCTTCCGGCGTGCACACATACAGTAGAGCTTGCCCAGGCCTCCTTCTTCGCGAAACTCGAGGGGAGATACGCCGAGACCGTCATCTTCGACCGAGCATCCGCCGCGCGCGAAGTCAATCGCGGCTTCTACCTTGGTCGCTTTCGCATCCAAGGAATTCTTCAGCAGCTCCAGCACAACTCCGGTAAGCGAGACAATTGCCGTCGACGACTTGATTTGGGCGATCACCTCGGCGGGCAGGGGCAGTATAGTTCGCGTGGGAGCATTGGGGATAGTATGTTTGGCGCCAATGGACGTGTTTCGGGTCATGACGTAGTGGTAGGTCTGGCGGGCGCCCCCTCAGCCCTCGATGTTTGATGACCCGTGTTTGATCATGTTAAGGGGTCGCGCCGTGATCAGTGTTGAGTTTGGGTGGGCGATAACATGGAGATCTACAGAACATACGCAATCGTGTGTCGTGAAGGGAACATGGCGGCTTAGCGCGGCGGGCGGCAGGTGCGCTGGGGAAAAGGGTCAGGGTCCAGCCGGAGATATGAGCAGGAGCGACCAGCAGCTCTTCGCTCTTTCCCCATCAGCGCAACCTCCCGGCCCCAACCGCGTAACTCAGACTGCCTCAATCGCCTCGGATTACTGATAGCAGCGATACGACTTGCTGTCTCGCCATTCGATAATTGCGCCCGACCGCCTGCGCTGGCTTTCACGACGCACACCGCGCTACCGACAGCCGCGTCCCCATTACTCCAGTAGATTCGACGTGGGATCGTCAGACTAAACGTGGCATCCCGCGCCTAAGTAGCCCAACGACCTCCTTCACTCACCACCGGCACTCTATATTTGGCAGCCGGCATAATGGCTACGGCCGAAGCTGCATCGAGACCCCATGGTACGGTGAACTAGTCTTGCACAGCCATTGTCTCAGACAACTACCCAAATTATATCCTCCCTACGCCACGCCCACTCTCTCCTCACCAAATAATGCTCACCATGCTAACGCGATACAAAGACCGACATGCGCGCAAGCGACCCTTTGCGGGTTGGATGAAGCGCCTGGCCAATCTCAAGCCCTCATCCTCCGACGCCCCAGGCAAGAAGGGCAACACCGTCAAGAAAGGCGCTCCAAAGAACAACCCCTATCCTGAGTCTGGCTACATCAACACCAACATACCGCCCGCCGACAACTCGTCCGTCACGACCCCGGCCACATTACGATCGCACGACAGCTATACGTCCATAGAGGAGCCCGCGGCCGGACAGCGACAGGCGATAGACAAGAGCAACAAGTCCACCGCCCCCACGGTAGCCACAGTCCCAGAGACAGTACACTCGTCAAGGTCAAAGGCGGAGACAGGCGGCAGCAACTTTGTCAACGGCGGCAGCACTTTCTCGTCCCCGCACGGCTCAGAGCACTCTCTCACCACCACCCTGACCACCATACAATCGACCGCGCCCTCGAATATCCTCAACCTCGGCCAAGCGCAACCCCAGAACAATGCGACAACCACAAGCACCACGCCTGTGCACTTCTCGCACCAGTTCCCCACCTCCCCGCCGCCGTCAGCCATACCGCCGCATCTGGCGCCCCAGCAGCCGCAGCAGCAGCAGCCCAACTCATATCAGGGCGCCACCGCGAACAACATCCTCACCGATAACGCGTCCATCCTTACACTCGCCTCATCCTCGAAGCGCCGCCGTCGCAACTCCGTAGATACCAATGCCTCCATGCGCGCACTAGCCCCATCGTCGCATTACGGCGGCAGTCGCGAATCGCTGCCCCTCAGCGTACTATCAGCGAACCCCGACGCCATATACTCGCCCTCCGGCAGGCCAAGCAACGTCAGCGCCTTCGTAAACGCCGAGCGCGCGAGCGTCTACTCTGCGTCTGGCGTCACAGCCCCAGTCCTGCCCAGCGAACGCAACAGCTACTACGCGACCAAGCAAGCCGACGGCCTGAGCGTGCGCAGCGGACTCCTTGGCCACGGCCGCACTGATAGTATCAGCAGCATGCGCGCCACGCCCACCAGCCCGCTCGCCAGCCCCCGCGAAAACCCCATGGGTCCCGCCCGCATCAGCCGAAAGAGCTCAGAGTGGAAAGACGCGAGGGAAGCAAGCGACGAGGACGAGGCGCCAGCGAGCCCAATCGTCGAAGAGCACGAAGATAAACCCACACCGAACGCTCAGACCTGAGTCAGTCCCAATGAAGCAGGCGCATGAGTACAAAGTCACGATAACCGAGATACCAACATTGGCGTTGATGGGGTTAGGATTGGTGGGTGGGCTGTGTCACGATATTCGGATTAATAGGGCTGTACGGAATATGGTTACTGGTACTGGTGACTCTTGGATGCTGCGAGGATGGCGTTAGTCTGGGGTTGGGCTGGATGGGTGGGGTGGGTTTGTGGTATTTTGGCTTCTTCATCTTATACCCTAGTATCGAATGGAGCTTTTTTTTCTTTGCGAAGTGAGTGCACGATGATGTGTATGGGTGTTTTGATTCGGAAGGTGCGATCAAGCTATGTGCGATGGGATGTGAGGTAAGTCCATCTGATCGCACCTACTACATTGAGGCCAAACAGCACATCACATTCCGTCCTGTTCTGTTCCCACCCGGATCGCCCTGGGACTGCCTTTGCGGGTCCTGTTTCCAACTGCGACAATCCCTCTGCTTCTCTTCGCGCGCATCACTTCTGTTTCTTTTGTTTGCAAGCCTTTTTCTCCTCTTCGGAAGCATGAAGATGATAGTAGCACGCCTTAACCTCTACATCTGAGCACTTTTGTTCCTTCAATGCATTGTTTCTGAACATGACAGCTAGAAGGAACTCATGCGGCAACTTTGACCATAGCAGCTCTTCCTCCTCGTCATCGTCCTTCGTATTCCATACAATGCATTGCAGCTCGACTGCCAATCTCATAGCCATGTGACCTTTCGGCAGATTGTCGTAGATCCAGATAACGGTTGCGTAATTCACGGAGCAGTACTCTCCAGGAGCCGGGACATATCTGTCGACGAATGTGTTGTGTGCCAGACGATGGAGCACCGGCGCAAGAACTCGATCACCGAAGACGGAAGCCCTTAAGAGAAGCTCCCCAATAGACCACTCATTCAAAACCGACTTTTTGAGAGTATGACCTGGTGCTGCGATGTCGTAGAGTGACTCCCAGTCTGAAGGTATCTCCTGCGCGTAGAGCCAATGGGCGAAGACGTTGAACACGTCGACTTCGACGTCTTCCAGTGTTACGCCCTCGTCCGACTCCTTCCAGCGGCCATTGAATGCGGTTCGAAAGTACTCGGAGTGGTGGCAGATGATGTCCTTGTGGATGTTATAGCGCTTCTTCTCGGGACCGATGAAGATGGTGACGATCTCGCCTTGGGCCGCAGCTCTACCTATAGGGTCAGTGACTGCGATAGCTCCAATTGCGATACGCAGATTACTTACCCATATACAGGTGCGACCGGAGGTACTTGCGACTTGTCTGCCATAGCGCTGTTGAATTTGTATGGTTATGGTGGTGCGGAGATAGAGGGAGGTAAGGTGGGAGGAAGAGTCGGTGCAGACTACTCGCGGCTTGGTCGAACTTCAGAAGTGAAGCTGGGTGTAGCGAACACTAGTCCAGAAATAATCCTAGCATTTCCCAATCTCTTTCATTGCCTTTCAAATCATGAAGTGCTTTGGAGAATACGTCGTGTGGTGTGAAGCATCTTCGAGGGGGTATGAGGTAGCGTGTGGGACTTCAAGTAGGTTGCGGCGGTGTTGAATGACTTCATGGGCTGATTATATGGCCATATGGGTTTCTGGAAGCTTGTTACGAGGCTATGAGAAAGCTTGATTACCTCCTGGGTTCGGTGAGGTGCTTCCTTCCGTCGTGACAGAGGTCGATACAGCCGTCTCGCACTGGTCGATTTCAGGGGATATACATCTCATAAATACCTCTTGAACAAATGCTTTGGAGACAACTAGAGCTATTCAGATGTATAATCTGATACTAGTCGATGTTTGAGTGACATACATACCATATCTCCCCCCAATACCTCTCCAGCCTTTTCCAAAGTGCCGTCTGGCACTGCCCTATTTCAAATGATATACACCCGATACATATCCCCTAAACCATCCTATATGACGTTAAAGTACTATCTCAACCTCTTCTCAACTTTTTCAACTTCCTTCCATCTGGTGAAAGATGGGATGAGAGACATAGTGGGCTGTGCGGTGAAGAGTCAAATGTGACTAACATGGCGAAGAGTCAACACCACGCAGCCACCACACAGTCACAACACTGTATGTGACTGTTATACGTATGAATCACTGTATGAATATGTCTGGTATAAGAGTGGAGGGGAGTGGCATCTGGTTATCACCACGCACGCCTTCCAGTACGCTACCTATCCGAGACGATACCAGACGAACAGCATTACGAAGCCGCCTCCCATCGATTTTAGACTACCGTATCCATCTTCCGCCTAGCTGCACCTCATTCAGAGTACATGGTCGACAAATTGCAGTTCGGGTACCTCGTTCAACGTAGCAGGAACCTATTCGCTTCATGCATATCACAACACCACAGCTTTACGAAGACTATTAACGTTATACAGTCAGCCCAAGAGACATTTGAGAAATTCTTGAAGCAAGGACCTTGTCCGAAAATTGGCGTGATTGAAGGACTCCAAGAACTCGACCGTCTTTTGACAGCTTTTGGAGCAGCAGTCCCGCCCGCCCGAGACGACGAAACCTTATCAAAAGAGTGGGACCAAATTCTAGTTGTCGTTGAGACCCTTGCAGATATCTCAAGCAGCTAAGTGGGTAGGGGGCTACAATGTCGCTGGATCGAAGACAAAAGCGCTGGCAAAGCATTATGTATCTGTCACGTCTCTTAGTCTGGGAGTCTATGGCCACCAAAAAGCATATCATGGTAGGCTAGACCAGTCATGTCGAATGGATTGTTGATTGCTAACTACACTCTGATAGCCAGACTACGTCATATCGTCAAACGATCGTAATCGTCTGCTCGACACATCCATCAAACCAGTTTACTTCCGAGCGCGACATTGGATAACCGACGCCAGCCCGACTGAAAGTATTAGGAGTTGCAGGTACCGGGTTCAAGACTAGCATGCATATTCGTCGGGGCGTAGGATTCCGGAAGCGAACAACAAGAAGTCCATACAAGTAATCACCCCAAATTTCAGTCTCATCTTGCCACCCAGCATCTCCATAGATCGCCACGTTGTATTGTGTCTCTTCACCGTTGTCAAGTCCGAGGAAGCGGACAGCAACATCGATTTCTTTCCATCGTAGCTTACAGAGTGGGCCCTTGACCACGATATTCCCGGATGTCACTTCTCCCCATTCATCCCACAAGTGATCTATGCTCACATCTAGGATAGTCGTGACGCACCTATATTCATCAGACCATATGTGTTCTTCCCAGACGATCGCACCCTGGATGGCAGCCCAGGACCACGTCGGCGCTCGATATTTCTCCGAGCGTGTATCGTCCGGGTTGACGGATCTCCATAACAACGCCTCGGGAAGATGTATATCCCAAAGCCCAGCAATATACCTGACATGGCCCTCGATCCTCCCTTGCCAAATGTTCCATACGTCTCGCGCCATTCCACTTATCGCGACTAGTTTGTCGTTGGGGTAGGTGAGCTTGGCAATAGAGTAATCGGTGACTAAAGCCTGCCAAACCATTTGCATTTGCACTGCGCCTGGTTGTCTTGATATTCCTGGAAGACGCTTGTGTACCGGGGCGGATGACGGAAAACAGGCCTTGGATTGCTCGTACACGGGTTTGAGTAGAGTGCCAGTAGAACTTGTGAGAATAGCGGGAAGACCATCGGGGAATGACTCGCAATAATTGTCAGTGCGGCATTCCCAGAACACTTGCTCTTTACCAAAATGTAGCACCCTTCTAGACAGTTGTCGTTCTTGGAATATCCATGCTCGGTGAAAGACTGCTGTCTTTTGAAGTACCTCTCCGTAGAAGTCTTCGTGTATGATGTGCCAGCTGACGTCTGTATGATCGTCGTATAGATACCCCAGGCCTGCTAAACTGATGGAGAGAGGGCAGACTGGATGCGGGCCAATTGATGCTGGATCACGCTCGAAGTAGAAGCCTTCACTTGCATCTTGAGCTCCAGACGCTGACAAATTCAACGTAGAGTGACTGTAGACTTTGTGCATCTGTACAGATTCTGCTTGCCAGTCCGCTTTATCGTCCTGTATCTGATAGCATATAGTCAGCATCAGGTCGTTGCAATTCGGTGAGATCCCGTACTATGCACAATGAATCTATCCAAATGTATGTCAAACCAAGAGATTTGCAGAGAGATATTGCATCTTGAAAGGTCCTCGGAAGTGCCTCGAAATCCAACTGTTGTTGGAACTGAGCTAGATTGTTGCAGACCAACTTGGTAATCGGTTTGGAGCCCCAGCAGTGACTCAGAGTCGCATAACCACCTCGCAGACGTTGGCCTTTCGTGATAAGTAGTCTAGTGTCAGAGATTGTTGGCATCACTTCAAGCAATCTTGTTGGATACCACGTAGTTTCTGCGTCTTCTCGACAGGTTTTGTGGGATGTTCGACATCGGTTGAGCCATCGCTGGATCAAGTGCAGGATTTCTGGAGAGCTTGAGTTGGAAGGTAGGTGACTTCGCAGATTCGTGAGCGTGTCTATTGGATTAGTATACTGCATCATCACAAATATCAACCGGTAACGTACTCGGGGCGTAAGGTATGTAGTAGAAGACGTCGAGAAGTACCACAGGCTCTTTGTCATATTCTTGGCCCTTTCGATAAATCCTGAGCCTTGCAGTGTGCCGCGGGTCTTCTCCGCCTTGTGCAGCTGTTTCAGCTATGTAAAATGTGGCGGGATGTACCTCCATGCGTCTTGTGGAGCGCACGTTGGAATGGTAGTTGCGCCATAGTCTTCTACAGATGTAACAACCAGCTCTTGATGCTCTAAACAAGGATGCAAAACCATCATAGTGAACTTTATACCAATCGAGGGGCGTGTCATTCTGAGAAGAGGCCCGATAAAGAATCGGACGCATAGCGAGACAGACATCGCAGAGATGCATTAGGATCGGTTGCACATAAATCCGGTGCTGAAGAGAATCGATTCAATCCAGCTATAGTCGGAGCTGTACGTGTTGAGTAGAGAAGAAAGTTGACTTCGAAGCAAATGACGTACTCCGCGATAGCGGGGCTGTGAAGTCATGCACGAATGTGGCACAGTAGCACAACATCGGACCTTCTCGCAAAATTATATTGCAGCAGACTCTCCCAGTTCCAATCATACGGTATCCCATCTGGTCCTCGCTGCTTGTGTGTTCGCGTAGTAAGAGTGGTTCCACGCCCCCACTGCCATGCAGATGTTCATTGAGGTAGCGTGACCAGATGGGGCGGACAAGGTGTGATGATCTCGGTGGCAGGTAGCGTTTGTTCCCTGGAAAATGGCGGTTACAACGGCATTTAATCGACTGGCAGGATAAGCTCGTGTGGTGAAGTGACCTTTTCTCGTGAGCGTATCTGAAAGAATACAAGTACAAGGATAGCTCTTAGCACCACTCACCTCCGTGCTGGCTGGCCAGGCACACATTTCTTCGCTGGTATCCGTGTAAAACGGTGGCGTATATAACAACATGTGTTTAAAGTGTAAGAGGCTTGCGTCGCTAGCGACTACGAGAAGTCACATGCCCGGCCGAGTGTTGCGATTTGGAGCGTCAGATCAAGCTGCTTACTTGTCGAAAGCTTCACTACCTCTATAACCCCGTCCATATCGGCGAAAGAAGCGACTCGCTGCCATGTGTCGCGCTACCTTCTCATGTAACAGAGCTAGGCCAATCGCAGCGACAACACGCCCAGTCGGTCGTTCGTGAACGGACGGCATCGAACTTTGTTAAGCAGTTGACAAGTTCGTTCCTGCATACGCGGCTGACCTCGAACTATCTGCAGAGTAGGGATGTGCTAAAGAGATGAATTGTTGCGAAGAAGCTTTTGACCAGTGAATAAGGTATTGTCCATGCGGCGTGGCAGAAGAGAACCTTGGAATAGAATGGGCGACAATTGATGACCGCCCGCAGTTGCAGATTTCGGATATTTGGTTAACTGAGTCAAAAGTTCCGCCCACCGCGCATATGGCATGTCTCGCGACGCGATTCGACGTGCGGGAGATGAGATTGAAAGGATAAGAAGAGGAGGCTGACGGTGTTCGCGTTCTGGCCCGCAAATCGCGCGGCGATACGCGCCCGGCTTCCTCCAGGGCTGGGCATCCAGGGGCTCGTGCGCTAGGATCAGCGCGGATTAGCGCCCTTGGCAACCCATCTTTCCGCTCTGGCTGCGTGCGTCACCCTCAACAACATCCAGGCCTCAAAGTTCGTTCCCCAGGGCCGACACGGCTTCGAGTCCGCTTCGACGCATAAATTCTTTCTCTCGAAAGGGACTTCCGTCCTCACAAGATCATCACCGACCATTGAAGTTATCGTCTTCAGCCTAGTTTGGGTTGGCTGGCATGACACCTAGCAGGTCATTCATGTCGCACATCAACTACGACACGAACATGTCGCTTCTGTGGTATGGAATGCAACTCCCGACCCCGCGTTGTGCTGGTAGATCGGAAAACGGTGCCCGTACCTGCGTATGTACCCCGCGACAACATCCATTCTAGCGTTCGCTACCCCGCCACGCCATCGGAGAACATGTGGAAGAGAGGTGTGACCGCTGTATGATTTCAAGTCGAATCACATGTGTGAATTGTTCAGAAGGCGCTGACGATGCTTCTCCGGGCGACATGTTAGTGTCCTACATCGTAAGGGTACTTGACGATCCTTTGGAGCGATGGATACTTCACGGATATATCTATTATCGGCATCGCAGTTTCCCTTTCTAGTTGATCCAGTGTATTCGCATTCTGAAATTCCTGCATGATGTCTACGAAAGACTCTAGTCTGCACCTCTTCTCATACTTTACGATACCTAATATCCTCCTAGCACTCGTGGCATATACTACCGTAAGATGTGTCTACCAGATCATCTACTATCGATACTTCCACCCGCTACGACACTTCCCGGGTCCCTTCTGGGCCAGCGTAACGCGGCTATGGATCGCCTACCACAACATCAAAGCTGATGAATGCGAGGTCGAACTCGCTTTACACCGCAAGTACGGCCCCGTGCTTCGCGTCACCCCGACCCTACTCTTGGTATCCGATGCAACGAAGCTTCCTGAAGTATACAATCGTCAATCGAACAAATCAAATCATTACATTACCGGCAGCTTCGGCAAGACGGAGAGTTTGTTCAATATGCGGGAACACAAGCACCACGCGCACTTTCGCAAGATCGCTGCTGGCCCATATAGTTTCAGCAACGTCAGAAAGATGGAAGGGTTAGTGGATGATCGCATCCAGCAGTGGACTGACAAGCTGGAGGAAGTCTTCGGCGATGGCAGTAGATTTGACTTTGCACCTTGGGTATGCTTCACACTATCGTTATGCTGGCGATCAGGGGCACTGACATATTATATAGGCAGTATATATGGCATATGACATCATATCGGAGATTGGCTTTGGCGCACCCATCGGATTCATTGAGAGCGGCTCCGATATTGACGGCTTGATCAAAGGCTTCCACGATGGTCTACTTCCTTTTGGTCTAATGGCCCGGCTCTGGCCGTTTACACAATGGGCAAAAGGCACATGGTTCGGCGAGAAATATCTTGTCGCGAAGCCCGAGGACAACTCTGGTATTGGCACATTGATGCGCTTCCGTGACAAGCTCATTGCCAAGCGAATCCAAGATATCGAAGCTGGTAAGGTCGACAGAGTCGATCTGCTACAGACTTTCCTGGATGCAAGGACGGAAGACGGTGCACCGCTGGATTTGGACTACATCAAAGCCGAAATCCTTCTCGTATTGCTCGCCGGCGCTGATACGACAGGCACTGCATTCCAGGCGATGATTGCGTACATCACATCTGATGCCCAAGTATACGCGAAGTTGATGGAAGAGTTGGATCGCGTCACTCGCGAGGGCAAGTTGAGCCCCATGCCGCAGTATGACGAAGTATTGGAGCATTGTCCATATTACGTTGCCTGCGTCAAAGAAAGCATGCGGTAGGTCATACTCATCTTCTTCACTGTCACTCTCATATACTAACGAACACAGTCTCTGTCCGTCCGCTCCGAATATCTTCCCTCGCGTTGTGGGTTCGTCAGGGATGCACCTGCATGGCCGCTACGCGCCGCCCGGTACCGAAATAACCTGCAACCCCTGGCTCGTGCACCGCGATGAAAAGATCTATGGTACAGATGCCTGTGATTTCCGACCAGGAAGGTGGCTCGAAAGCGAAGAAAAGGCAAAAGAGTACAACAAGTACAACATGGGCTTTGGATATGGCGCGAGAGTCTGTCTTGGAAAAGACATCGCGCTCATGGAGTTGTACAAGGCCCCGTTGCAGTTCTTCAGGATGTTCAAGATTGAGATCGACGAAAGCCGGAAAGGCAATTTTGTAGTCAAAGGTGGTGTAGGATTCTGGGAGGACATGTGGATCGGTATCAAGCGGCGGAAGACGGCGTCGTGATACAATAGATCGAGATGGCCGTTAAGTGTATGCTAGTCAGTACTCAGCGCTGAAGTCCTCAAATCTAAATGGTGAATCGGACAATGGTGCGTGTTGACGCAATGACGAGCTGGTGATCTAGACCATCCCGTCCCGACCTCGTCACGTGCTGGCGCGGCGATCTACCGCTAGCGAGATCTTGGCGAAACAACTCGAAACGACCGCAATTACGCTACCCATTCTACGGTCCGCGCCTCAGCAACCCAACCACTCGCAGCTCTCACCTTGCCTTTGTACAGGCGCGGCGGCCCCCGCACTGGGGTGCACTGCAAATGTTTCCGAGATGATCCTCGATTGGCGCCGTCTTCTTGGTCCAGGCCTCAGGCCCCAGCGGAAATGGCTTGTTTCATTGCCCGCCTGGTTATATAGGGGAGCAACTCCAACATGACGACGACCTGCTACCGCTTTCACGATCATTCGCATCGATTACATTCTTTTTACCGTCTCTCACAGACACACTGACCTGGTTCGCTGGTCGTTCGCTCTTTATTTCGTTCCTCGCTTTGTTTGATCATCTGCTAGCATCATGATGCACTCTGCTTTCTTTTTTTCCCTGCTTGCCGGTACGGCTTTTGCTCAGTATGGCGATAACAGCTACAACGCCCCTGCTGGAGGCTCGAAGCCTGCTCCCTCCGTTACAACGCCTGCTGGGTACGGCACGCCCGTCCCGAACCCGATTGCGTCCCTGGTGCCCATAGTACCCATCGTCTCTGTTATTACATCCGCCCTCGGAGCTATACCCTCAGGATTCCTTCCCGACAATGATCTGCCGAACCCTTTCAAGTCCATCTACATCCCGGCGTCCCAGCTGTTCAACCCTGCTATCGCACCTGCGTTCACCGAAACTGCCGCGGTCCCTCTTCTGTCCCTCTTGCCGGTCTACTCTACCGCATCCAGCTCGTCCGTTGTCGAGCCTACCGGCTCTGCTGAATACCCGGTAGCTCCTCCTACCGTCAAGCCATCCAAGCCTGCAACCTCCACGACTTGCACCGAGAGCAAGGCCCAGAGCACCCGCGTACCCCTTGACGCTACCCGTTCATCGGCTGCCCCTCAGAAGCCTACCGGCGCAAGCTCGGCAGCTACCTCTACCGTTTCGACACCCAAACCTGCGACCTCCACATCTTGCACCAAAAGCAAGGCTCAAAGCACTCGCGTGCCCCTTGACGCTACCGCTTCGTCGCCTCTCCCTCAGCGTCCTACCGGTACAGGCTCAGCAGTAGCCTACCCCACCGGCACTGGCATGCGTCCCTCTGGCAACACACGCCCAGACTACTTCCACAACGGAAACCGTCCCCAAGGTGGCTTTGGCTGGGGCCGCCCAAGGCCTTCTGGCAAGTGGCCTCACGCCTACCCCAAGCCTACCCATGCTGCCCATCGCCCCACCAAGCCTTCTGCTGCTCAGGGATACGGAGGTGTTAAGGCCAGCAGCACGCCTTGCACTTTGGAGACTAGGGTCAGGCCCAAGGCGACCCCCGCCCCTGCTAACTACTAGAGAGCAAATACAACCCGAAGGTATCGCTTCCTGAATTATAATTATGTAAACGTAGTTCATGTATATACCTTATTATCCACAGACCTCCGAGTGGGGTAATACAGCACATGCAGTTGATAGGCGATGCGCCTATTGCGGTTGTCATTGCTCAGTTCTTGTCTCACTTGCGTTCGTCCGAATTCATGATCTTTCATTGCAGCCAGCTGAAGGCTAGTCAGTTTCCTTAGCATGCAACTTCACCGTCCTACACGTCTCCAGTATCGTATCCATGCCAGCGCAATCAGCTTTCCTACCGTCTATTTACAATTCCCCAATCAGTCCAGATTCGTCGCCTTACTATGGCACGAGTCTCCAGGAAGCCTGTGCCGCCATGGGAACTATGGTGACCCGGAAACAATCTTCTGTTATGGGAGGCAGGATAATTCTAGATCAGGGATTTATGCCCGTAGGAGCATGCAAGGAATGCGACTTCAGCGGTTTGTTCGATCGGATTATGAAGAAGGTCGACGACGATCTGAAGTTCCAACTTGATCTCAGTCCGTCAAAACCCGTCAAATCCTCGGACTGAGGGTTCAGAGAAGATGTCCGTGATGTCAATGGCGAGACAGGGTAGCGATGGATGGCCATAAATCAGCGAACGAATGAAGGGTAGCCGAGGAAAGAAAGGTGCAGAATTGGCAGAGTCTTTCGACACCGCATCTCACAGTTAGATCAGATTGTCAAATGACAGCATAACCTTCGAATCAAAAGGTGGTATCACACTAAGTAAACTGCATCCCATGATCAAGATGCAAACCTATCATCGCGCAATACGTATACTGACGCCGTCTACCATGACACTTCTTCAAACTTAGCTACATATGGTTGCCATCCACTCAATTCACTCGTACTGCGACTACGCAGAGAGGCATGAAGCTACCTACTACTATGCGGTTTTCTGTGCCCACTTTTTTATCTTAGGTGAGCCCGACTGCTCTATTAATCCTTCCCTCTTGTCTTCATCTGCGCGATCCAACTAGCGGGCTTGGCAGGCAAACGCGCTGTCTTTCACCACCTACCCAATACGCTACACTCACACGCCGACTTGACCCTTTCAATTCGCCAGATCAACATCGTCACGTCGACTTCACCAGCGCACGCCTTCGTCACAATGGGCGAAACCCCGAAGCTCGTAACGATCGACCCAAACGGCGACATGCTGATCAAGCTCAAATACCGAAATACCGCGCAGTCAAAGTGGAAAAACGAGAGCGAATCCGTGGAAGATTGGATCGCTCAGGCAGAGGCCGCCAAAGCGATTATCGAGAACGAAACTGCGACACCCGAGCTGAAACCTACCGAAGTCCACTACCTCGTATCATCGCGACAGTTGCGCATCGTATCGCCTTACTTCGAAAAGATGTTCAAACGGAACTACGACGAGACAGTTCTGAATAGCGAGGACGGTCTATATCACGTACGAGCGCAGCAGTGGAACCCGCATGCCCTTGCCATTATGCTTAATATTGCGCATCTCCAGTTCGCGGCTATACCGAAGGAAGTCAGCGTTAGGTTGTTTGTTGCGCTGTTTCTGGTTGCAGATTACTACCAGATGGAAGATGCGTTGAGGCTGTTTACGAAAGAGTGGCAAGAGGAACTTCAGGAGCAGCCGATGCCCACAGTCTACAGCGAAGAGTCGATGCTGTGGATGTTCTTGGGTAACAAGTTGAAAGAAGGGGAGATATTTGGGAGTATGGCGTCTCTGGCGATGAGGGAGGCGTGTCATCCGATACAGTTCCTGGATCTGCCTTTCCCACGCGGTGAAAAAGGTGAGTGAATCAACTGGTCCATGTGGATCTGCTGACTCTTGCAGGTGTGGGTCAGCTTGACAGCATGAGATGTGAAGCTATCCAAGAGCTACTGGCTGGCACCCAAAAGCTCAACCAAGACCTATACGAAAGCAAAGTGGGATGCGATTATGGATGTTCGGCGACGATGTTAGGATTCTTGCAAAAAGGCTTGTGGGACCACGAGCTGCTGAGTCGCATCGAGAAACATGACCAACATCCCTTCGAAGGACTTTCATTTCATGTGCTCTATCACAACTTGAAAGCGATCAGCAACGTCGCTTATGCTGGGAGTTACGGTATACGGGCCGGTTGTTGTGAAATTCACAACCATCTTCTTCCAATCTGCGAAAAGGCCGAAGCTCACTTGGAGTTTGACTCTTGCACGTTTCTGAACTGAGCATGGTGGATGGTTTGATGGTCGATCAGACAAGGATATAAGTGGGACGAAGAGGGCATTTGTGTCGAGAGCCTGGTCGGAGAATGAAGTGCACTGAGCTTCACTCAGTCTAGAACATGAGAAGCAGCGGCATGGAAAAGCTTAGGCCTTGCTGGCTATCCGGACGTCGATTCATCCACAGCCAAATACGGGAACGTTTGTATGCCAACCGAAGAAGTGCGCGCACAACATCCAATCCCCATCTACACCCCCCCCACTTCCAATCTCTACTTCTTCGCATCCATAACAACGAAAACCCAACGTCTTCATTCCGGTCTACCGGCTGTGACAGTTACCTACTCAAATGCCCCCCTAACACAAATGAGAGAGATCGCCATCCTCAGAGTCTGATCCCCTAAAAGGTGGTGCCATGATCCACGCCGATGCGTGTGGATGGTCTTGATACCATTTCTCTACCAGTTCTGGATTCTTCCACTGATAGAACCCTGGAGGAACCCGGATGGACGGAAGTGATATTGTATAGGTTGGAGGAACCGGGGTAGACGCAGCTGTTAGTGTAATGTCAGTACTCTGGGAAGATCAACGCAGTTTCTCCGATGCTGTTTCAGTTCGTGCTCCCGGCTAGGATCAGAGCTTCTAACTCACGACCATCTGGCGCAAGTTTGAAGGGACCGACTGGGACCACTCCGTTGAAAGTGTTGTTGTGAGTACCGTTCTGGGTCCCGTCCTGGGTACCGTTCTGGGTACCGTTCTGAGTGCCGTGCTCAGTGCCGTTCGACTTCCCAGCTTCGAGCTTAGTCTCAGCGATCCAGGTTTCAACGTCGTTGAGAGCTTTGAGTGGGTCGCCGCGGCAGCCTTGGAGGTAGTTTTGCACTTGCGCTGGGGAAACTATATTCCTATTAGTACGAAATTTGGAACTGAAATGCCATGACCACTTACATGTATTTGTGGGCATCTTCTCAGCGAACTCAGATGCCCACTCCTCGATTTGTGCCATGGTGAACTCCGCATCATGTGCGAGAGCTGATCGGCCAATCAAGCGCTTGAAGATGCTCTTGCCCGCACTAGGGTCCATATTGCCGAAGTAGACCTTTTTGTCGATACGACCGGGACGCGTCAAAGCCGCATCAAGCGTATCGGGAGCGTTGGAGGTCATGATCAAGAGCCTTCCTTCTTGAGAGGCGTTTCCGTCGATAGCGTTCAGCAGGCCGCTTAGTGTGACTGTGTTCGATCTACGACCCACACCCGGGTAATCACGAGCCCGAAGTTTTGGCAGCGGACCGATGCCACCTGGAATGCCAGCGACGTCACCCACGCTCTCATCCGCTTGCGCATGTGCTCCTGTTGGGGCAGCCGGCGGTGTTCGTTCGCGACCGATACCAGCAGAGTCGATATCTTCCAAAACTACTACGCACTTGCGTGGAAGGCCTAGAAACAAGCGGTGAAGTGTTCCATCATTGATGCTACCGGTGGAAAGGTTGATGTGGTAGATGTCGCAGCCAAGATGGCCCGCCAACGCAGCGCTGAATGAGCTCTTGCCGGTACCCGGGGGGCCATGAAAGAGATATCCGCGCCGATATGGGATACCACAGTCGGCAAAGAATGACCGCGACTCCTCGCTGTAGTAGTATTCTGCGTCTCTGACAATATCAAATTTGGTAGTCTCGTCCATGTCTATAGTGTCGAGCTTTCGAATGGCTTTGGAGACCGACTGCCAACCGTTACCGTATGGATCTGTACGATCTCCCGCGAAGTATACCGTTGTGGTACCTGTGAGGTTGTTGAGTCGGAACTCGCGACAGAGACTGGTGAACTGCTTGAGTGGTTTGAGGCTCCATCCGAGCGTCATGATAGTGAGGGAGTTTTGGAGCTGGCCACTATCATCGAGCAGGTTACCGGTCATACCACTGTTGGTCCGATAGCCAGGGCCACCTCGACGTGAGAATAGATAGGGTCGAAATCCGACCCAAAATAGTCGTGTACCGATTGGCGGGAGACAAAGAACCTCATCGTCCGGTTTCTCGGATGCAAGTCTCGGGTTATGAGCCGCCATCATGCGGCGATGAAACTCGTCATTGGGATCCTGTGTGCCTCCTGTGACCAGCATGGCACTCCTCGTGTGGCTGTTGAGTATCACCTCCGAGCCCATCCACGCCAGAACCTCTCTAGCGACTGGATCGGTCTCTGGGATGGTGACTTGAACAGTAAAGGCCCATGTAAAGAAATCCTTCAGATGCTTGTATGCGGGACGAACAGCTTGGTAGAGACCGATGAGTGCGAGGAGCTTTTCAAGATCGCCGATGCCGCTTGGCCGAAGTCGATACAGTAGACGCTGAATGACCTCTAATATGGGGAACTGACCCGTCGCAGAGCGTTTGAGGTGATGTGGGATGAGTCCGGGTGTGTCCAGGCGCTCGGGCCATAGCTGGTCACTCATTCCTGGTGGAACCATGAGCTCGTATCGTGGGTCAGACATTGCGGCGGGCGGTTGAGGGCGATATTCCCATGTAAGGTTGCGTGAACGAGCTATGACCGCGGTTTCTAGACGCGTGAAGATGTATTAAGAAGACGAAGGAAGTAATAATCTCCAAGTTTTGGAGATTGCCGTGTATGTGCTACGCGCCGTGGGTAGGCATTGTTAGACAACCGTGGGTGAGTTGAAATTATGATGGAGTGTCGAGAAAGAGTGAAAGCAATGCGATAATGCGCGGAAGAGGCAAGTCGAACAACCAGTGGCGCGGTCATGGAAGCGACTGCCTGGACGTTGGAGGTCGAGGCTGAACGGGCTGAACGGCAAGTTTGCGCGAGACCGCATAAGGCAAGAGAGGCTGTGGCATGAGCGCGTTGGGGCTAAGCCTAATCGGGCCAGGTGGGCTGTTTACAGCTGTACGTCATAGCTAATTATTCTAACAGAACTTCTAGGCTTTTTGCACAAACGTCTTACTCTCGTCTTTGAACTTTGCAATTACCAGAATCACTCAGGATAACTCCGTTCGAAGAGAGTTTCACATCTCAGTACCATACAGAACAGACAGCTTCGATTCACCATGCCTCCCAAAGCAAACACTTCCGACCTTCACGTGGCGAAGCTCTTCTCAGTCAAAGACTATGTATGCGTAGTGACTGGAGGCGGCTCTGGTATCGGCCTCATGGCTGCCCAGGCGCTTGCAGCGAACGGCGCAAAAGTATGTTCCTCCTTCTCGCGAAAGAATAATCCTAACATCACATAGGTCTACATTACCGGTCGTCGACAAGAAGGTAAGCACGACTGCCGCCCCCTCGAATCATTCAGACTGAGAGACTAACCATATTAGCCCTCGAGACCGCAGCGAAGTCACACAGCCCCGACCAAGGTGGTCAAATCATCCCCCTCTCGCCATGTGACGTAACCAAGAAAGACGACTTGGAGCGCATGTACCAGGAACTGGCGTCCAAGGAGAAGTACATCAACCTTCTCATTGCCGCAGCCGGCATCTCAGGCGAGAAGGGCATTCCCGATGCGGACGACGCGACCGACATGAAGAAGAAGCTCTTCGACAACGAGACCTTCGAGGGCTGGGCCGAGACCTACAACACCGATGTTACCGCCGTTTACTTCACCACCGTCGTTCTCCTGCCGCTTCTCCAAGCTGGAACTGAGAGCCATGGTCACCTTTCTGCCTCTGTCATTGTCATCTCGTCCATGTCGGGAATCATGAAGGACGCGCAAGGGCACTTCAGCTACAACGCTGCCAAGGTGAGAAATTCCTCTTCATGTGTGGACGATCTCGACTGACTCTTACTCCAGGGCGGCACCGTCCACCTCAGCAAACTCATGTCGGCTGAGTTCCAGCAGCTTCGCATCCGTGTGAACAGCATTGCCCCTGGCTACTTCCCATCGGAGATGACAGCCAAGGAGAGCGACGAGAACCAGAAGAGTGATCTGCCGGATGAGAAGATCCAGGAGAAGGGCCACGTCCCACACGGTCGGGCGGGAAGCGACGCGGAGATGGCACAGGCCGTCATCTTCCTCACCAAGAACTCCTATGTCAACGGCCAGATTCTGACGGTGGATGGCGGTGTGCTCAATGTTGTGAGCTCTTGAGTTTGGTGGCGAAGATGTGAGGGAAATGATGAAGTAGTCTGATGAGAAATCATACCAACTGTTAGGCGTCTCAACTTGACTCGTGCATCGGCACTTCCTATTCGGTCAGGTTTCCACAAGGCTGACTGAAGCCGTTTCCCCACATTCCCCGCGACAGCGATAAACCATGCTGATGATGTCTGATTGCGATAGTGAGCGATAGTGAGAGCTGATGTGACGCAAGCAACTGATGATGATGGGGCGCGTCGTAGGTGACGGAAATGTTATGTGTGGCTTATGCAAGGGGCTAGCGCACGTGGAGAGCGTGTCTTTGATGACAATGTGTCTTTGTGACGAAATTTTGCTAAGAAGAACAAAAAGTACGGCGCGTCGCGTCGCATTGCTGGCACCTACATGCATACGTGCATACACATTTTTCGGAACCGGAGGCAGCCATGGGGTGCAGCGCGGTGAGTGGATGGTACGAGGCAGGGCGCATGAAGCGAGGATGCGAGGATGCAACGGCGCGGCCGCTACTGCGCGCAGGTCGAGTAGCAACAAGACATTCACCGCAGCTCGAGTCGCCGCCGTCTAGCGACTCCCCGACGCCCGCTGCCTCAATCTCCGCGGCAGCACTGGGCGACGAGTCTTTCCACAACGGCAGCCGCTGGCAGGCGAGAGCGACTCTGGGATTCGCTGGGCGTGCTAGAGCGTGTTTCGCGGCCAGGATCCCCGTGTGATAATTGCTTTGCGCTGGTAACGGGCCCCTCCAACGCATTGCCTGGGCTGCGCATGGGCAACAACAACAACAGCGACTTTGCCCGCGACGCTGCCGTCGCTCTGGATCCCCGGGTGCGTGTTGAGGGAGGATATGCACACCGCAGCCCGCCATTCACCGCCGCCGCCGCCCACCTCCGCCAACGCACCTCTGCGCCGCGACAGACGACGCCCCGACGATAGGACGGCATAGCAGCCGGCCCGGGCCTGAGGAAGACGTCAATATGGTCTCACACCCCGCCCGACCGGCGCATCAAGCCTCGAACTCGCGCTCGTCGCAGCCCTCCGCCCCGACCGCCAGCACGCCGGGCCACGCGAAGAAGTCGTCGTCGTCGTCCAACCACAATGGCCAGCCCCGCGAGCGCGACCAGCGGCCGAGCAGAGAGGGCACCGCGCAAAAGGCCGCCCAGGGCGTGGATGGCCTCAAGGACTTCCAGCTGGGCGACTGCCTGGGCAAAGGCGCATTCGGCAGCGTGTACCGCGCCCTCAACTGGGGGACTGGTGAAGCCGTCGCCATCAAGCAGGTCCGCCTGGAGAACCTGGGCACCGCAGACCTCAAGAACATGGAGATGGAGATTGACCTGCTCAAGAACCTGAACCACCCCAACATCGTCAAGTACAACGGCTTCGTGAGGAGCTCCGAGAGTCTGTACATTATTCTGGAGTGAGTGGCCCGAATGAACGTCCAGGGCGTGGCTAATCATCTCAGGTACTGCGAAAACGGATCGTTGCACAGCATCTGCAAGAACTTTGGAAAATTCCCCGAAAACCTCGTCGCGCTGTACATGTCGCAGGTCCTCCACGGCCTCCTCTACCTCCACGAACAGGGTGTCATACATCGGGATATCAAGGGCGCAAACATTCTGACGACCAAGGAGGGCCTCGTCAAGCTGGCAGACTTTGGCGTAGCCACCAAGCAGTCAGGTCTGGACCAGTCGAGTGTTGTCGGCACGCCGTACTGGATGGCTCCCGAGGTCATCGAACTATCCGGCGCTACTACGTCGTCAGACATATGGAGTTTGGGATGCACAGTCATCGAGCTTATCGAAGGGAAGCCGCCCTACCACAAGCTACAGCCCATGCAGGCCCTCTTCAGAATCGTCAACGATGAGCACCCGCCGATACCTGGAAGTGCCTCTCCGGTTAGTAATCCCCTCCAATGTATACCCCACATTCTGACCCCTACAGCTGCTGCGTGAGTTCCTCATGGAGTGTTTCCAGAAGAATCCCACGCTCCGCATCTCCGCAAAACGCCTCCTCAAGCACCCATGGATTCTCAGCGCCAAGCGGACTGTCCCTGCAGTACCCACAAAACCTACCGAATATCAGGAAGCAGTCAAGTCCGTGCAGGAATGGAACGAGGCATTAAAGTCGCCCAGCTCCCTGCGCCGAAGCTCGCGTCTTGTGTCGGGCTTGCAGAAAGCCAGTCCTGCTGCTTCATCTCGCAAGAATCCGGCCAATGTTAATCTCAACATCCCGAAGCACAGACCCACCGCTGAGTCGTTCCGCTCCCCGGAGCTAGATCATGACGATAACTGGGACAATGACTTTGCCGAAAGCATATCGCCCCGCGCCCTGCAGATGCCACACTTGAAGCCACAGGACAACTTTGGTGGTCTCTTTTCGAGCGACAAGCTCAAGGCTTTTGCCAGTTTTGAGTCGGTTACAGAAATGGCAGAGTACGACGGGGAGGCTACGGTAAAGAGTCCGATGAACTTGGCGCAGTTCCAGAGCTTCCCGAAAGCGTCGGGCCATAGAGCGGTTGAGAGGTCGAGAGGCGCCAACGGTAGACCTAGGACGTCTGCGTCTTCATCGAACACGTCTTCAAGATCAAATTCGAACGCTTCTACATCAGAGTACGAGGATAGACATGAACCCCAGCCAAGAACGGCATTCCTGCGAGGTACACCAAGGGCTGCACAGCCTCCCAAGCCAAAGACGACAGCGCCAGCGCGGCCAAGTCAGCTCTTTCGCGAGGACACGGTCGAGGATTACTCAGATCTCATGCCAGCTGATGAGGGTGCCTTTGAGCGTAAGCTAGCGTCCATGCAGTACGCAAATTCGCCAGCCGTGCCATCTAGACAAGTAATCGTCACCAACTCCAGCCCACCATCTGACACTTTCTCACCGCGATTGTTCCATCCCAGCGACCTAAAAGCAGGGCCCAAGTCAACGCGCGATCTCAAGTCTGGTGGCAATGTCCATCAGAGATCCACGAGCTCAACATCGACGCGGAAGCAGCTGCAACGGACACAGTCTGAGATTGAGATCCAAAAGTACGCTGAAGATGAAGGCGATGACTTTTCCGATGTCTTTGGCGACATCAAGAGTCAGCTTGCTAACCCTAGCCGAGCCGAGAGTGATAGCGGGAGTGAGCACAGCAGTCTTGCCATGATCACATCGAAGATGGCGAACTCTTTCATCATAGCCGACGAGGATGATCTTGATCCGTTCGCAAACTTGGACGAGGGTCTTGACAATATCAACTTGGAGAACAACGTCGCGCGAGACCGGGACGATCGGTTGACGAAGATGACGGAAAGCCTTGTAGGTTGTCTGAAGACAAGTCAACCCGACGACGAGCTGCTCGACATTGCAGATCAACTACTACAGGTGCTACATGAATCTCCGGACAA